CATGTTATCGCAGAAACGGACTCAACCGCACAAATGCCTGGCCGTCCCGTCTTTATAGTCAACTGTTCGTTCAAAAAATAAATAAAAAATGGTTTTGACGGTTATTTTACTTTCATGACGGTCTACATCACAGGTGTCCAACTCATTCCACGGAGGGCCGAGTGTCTGCAGGTTCACTCCTCCCTTGTCCTTCTTAACCCTAATTGCTCCTGTAAGTCGCTCTGGATAAGAGCGTCTGCTAAATGACTAAAATGTCAAATGTACTTGATTGATGAATTAAGGTCACTAATCAGTAAAGAACTCCCCTCACCTGGTTGTCTAGGGCTTAACTGAAAGGAAAAAACTAAACTAAACAGACAATAGGCCCTCCACTGAATGAGTGACACCCTGGTATACATCCATAACCGTTGGTTACACGGTTATACGGTTATTGTGCCAGCCCTAGCTGCAGCTGGTAGATCTGCTTCCTGTGGATCCTCAGCAGGCTTGTGGGGAGCAATGTGATACGTCTGATTGTATGACAAGCTCTGACACTGGGGGGTTAAAGGGGGAGAGGAGATTTTCAGTTGGCCTAATAAAGCAGAAATATCAGGCTACTGTTGTGACAGGCTGGGCTACCTCCCCACAAACAGCGTCCTCTCCCCAGGCCCAACAGCTGGAGCCCAGGACAACACAGGACTACTGGGGAGATCAACCATAAATTGATGGTAGAGGGGTGACAAGTTCTGACATGATGTTTTCAATGTCCTAATAGATATGTGGAGGTCTTCGAAAACTTCTAGCATTTTTTATACGGCAGCTAGCCCCCATCCACACAGTAGCTGATGCACAATCATAAAAGATATTGGAACTGTGAAGGATGACATCGATTGTCAACCTCAACTGTGTAACGTACAATTCTACGTGGTCCCTGAGTGTAATATAGATGTTGTTTCCTGTCATTACATTACTTAATGATAATTATCTAAATTACAGCCATCAACCAACCCCCAAGCAGTTATTAACAGGACAAAAACATCTAATAAACCAAAACCACATTAATGAAATCGGGCCCAGAGGATACATACAGTACTGGTGCCTTCTTCCACTCCCCTCCAGCTCAAAGCAGAGCTTGGCAAACACCTCCCCAGGGACAGCAACATAAATAGAACCAAGGATGGAGTGACGGAAGAAGGGCAGCCAATGGAATGAAAAGAGACCATGCATTAGTCTTTTGAGGTGGTCTTTGTTTTAGCAAATCTGAGTGGAGATTTGGACTGGGTCCAGTCTCTGCTGCTGCTCCCACATATGTCCACTAAACCAGTATGTTTAATATGCGTTTGTTTATTTTCTAAACCCGGCCTCTCCTCTGTACTCTGCCCATCCACCGACCCGCACCCTGGCCGTGCAGCAGCTGTTGCATGTAAACACACAAAAACAGAAACCTGGAAAATCCAGCGCAAGTACAGTAGAAGGCTTTGCTTGTTTCAGTAGCCCTGAGGGGGGAGGGGAGGCATCATCTCTTGCCATTGCCAACTAAACTCACCTGTCTTGGGGAGAGCATAAGTTCCACAGACTTTATAGCCATATCCAAGCATTAAGGTACATTATAAAAAGAACATAAAACTGTCCCTTTTCCATATTGATTAACACAGTTTAAAGACTACATAAATCCAAGGGCCGCAGATTACATACAGGGACGAAGCACAATTCAACCATCAATGTTAGTCTGTGTGTCTCTGGCTGTCTCTGTCTGAACAGAACGCCATCATTTGTGTCTAGGTTTACTGTAGGGTTGCAGAGGCCATCTGGACTTCTAAACAGCTGTCACTAATCTCATGGCTTTGCTGGCATTTGTTTGTGTTTTTAATCTCTGCATTTGGGGAATCTAGGTTAGCAGCACGAATACACAATCCAAAGGACACTTTACTGGGGGGATCAAATGCCATTGCTGTGTTTAAAGGGCATTGTTCTTCTGCCAAGGACTTGCTCCTCTCTAACCAGACATTGACAGGTTTTTATTATTTGTTATTTCACCTTTATTTAACCAGGTAAGCCAGTTGAGAACAAGTTCTCATTTACAACTGCGACCTGGCCAAGATAAAGCAAAGCAGTGCGATAAAAAACAACAACAGAGTTACATATGGGGTAAAACAAAACATAAAGTCAAAAATACAACAGAAAAAAAATATATATATATACAGTGTGTGCAAATGAAGCAAGTTATGGAGGTAAGGCAATAAATAGGCTATAGTGCAAAATAATTACAATTAGTATTAACACTGGAATGATAGATGTGCAAGAGATTATGTGCAAATAGAGATACTGGGGGACAAATGAGCAAAATAAATAACAATATAGGGATGAGGTAGTTGGGTGGGCTAATTTCAGATGGGCTGTGTACAGGTGCAGTGATCGGTAATGTGCTCTGACAACTGATGCTTAAAGTCAGTTCATCTCCCTAAATCCCTTGCCCTGTGTTCTGATTCTTAATGTGAAATCATTCAAGTGAATAGGTTAACAGTATCACACTAACTATACATACACACCCAAGATAGCTAGAACTAACGGTCAGGGGTGACTAGTTAGCATCTCAAGTCCTGGCTCGCTAACGTTAGCTAGGATTGCACCAAAGACATGGTACTCTTCCAACCACTCTCTGCTGGTTCAATGGTCGTTAGCTAGCAAAATTAAACAGTAAGGTTTAGCTACTAAACCATTAAAACGTGTGAAAATGTTATCAAAGCAAATTATTATAACGGTTACGCTAGGCTTCAGATAGCTATCTTAAATCAATTAACGTTAAACTAGCTAGCTACAATTAGTTACTACCGTTAGCGAGCTAGTAACGTTAGCTAGCCAAGAACAACGCACTTCACCAAACCTTTGCTTTGGCTAAGAAAATCAGCAACTGCCATACAAATGTAACATTAGCAATTACTAATTTCTTAGCTACACACTCTTTATATCAGAGAATGTACCTTTTGCACCATGTTACTCACCCGTTGATTTTTGATATAACAGTGGAAATTGCAGTCAGGCTGAATGTCTCGTAATGCTCCGAACCGCTCGATACCAACGTGCCAACTGAAACCAGCACCACGCTGATATGACACGTTAAAGGCGGACCCTTCAATGCGTAAATGGGGGCCAGCTCGAATCAACTTCCATTCTCGACTGGTGAGGTTGACCAGAGTGAGTGATAGGAGGTATACTGTGACTTCTTTCAGCTGTGTTTCTTTGTATCTGAATCAGTCTATAATAAAATGTATCTAAAAATGAACACCGGTATTGAACCTTGCTACTTTCCCTAGACTGATTCTGGGCAATGTAAGATCGTGAATTTGCATATCATATGCTTGCTCGTCTAGTCTGAATTATAATGTTCCAAGAGTAACACAAAGTACAGACAATAGGTAATTTAGATAAATAAAAGGTTTATTTTCTTGCATGTAAATCTGAAATAATTATTTCTTAAACAAAAATAGCACAATTCCAGTGTTGGATCCTGGGTAAAGCTAAATCTCAGTCCTCTCATATGACAAAATCGAATAAATAAAAAAACACATACATTGATAAGTCTGACGCTGCATGCCAACATACAGCTGAAATAAAAAAATATGATTAACCATTGAAACAAACAGTAAGGGAAAACAAATAATTCTGAAATGGGTTAAAAGAAAGTCAGACGCAAAGATAAAGAAAATACACAATAGAAAGAAACCAAAGTAATATTCCTGAAATGGTATAAGGAAACGCAGAGGTCTGCGCTTTAATTCCAATATAAAAATCTGGGTGGCACTGCCATATGGGACTCCAGTGCCTTCTGACTCCACACTGTGGGGTCATATGCTGGGCTGGCTCCATCTGCTATCCAAACAAAGTGACCCTTATTTTTTATGATCTTAAAACACATCATTATTAAGCAATTCTTTTAAATGCATTTTATTGAAACACTAATTTAAAAAAAATCTGCATTTGAAACTTGCAAACAAATGCATCTAATCCTATGTGCTTACATTGAACAAACATTGATCATGTTAAACAAATGTTAATAGAACAGTAGAAAAAAAAAAGCCTATTGGCTTACATTTCAACCTTGTTTTAACCTTTCAGCAAAGCCATCCAATCAAAAAGCACAGTTGGATATAGATTATTTTTGTTAGCAAAAACAAAAGTATTAACCATGTTTTACATTTAATTGCAAGAACTACATTATTAGGAGGGGTTAACTTACAATCAAAAACCTATGTGCTGAACATGGTTGTGTTCTGTTCTTATTTTTCTTGCATTTCAGAAAAGTAGTCCTATCCATCCTGCATCATTGTGGCAGGAATGCAGGATGCCAGACATTTCAGATTGTTGATTCTTGAATCATCAGCAGTAGCAGGTGTCTCAGTCAGGAATCCCCTGTTAACGTCTCTGTCCCTGTAACGCACACAAAGGGTTGGGGACTGTAGGTTACTTTCAAAAATGTCATCCGTTACAGTTAACCAAACTCATTAACAATCTGATTACTTTCAGTTACTTTTGGAATGCTTTCCCCTTAACAGACAGAAGACAAAAAGGATCCATCAAACGCATTTGGTGTGTCATCATAGTGCTCTGATTGGTGGTCATCATTTGGTGTGTCATCATAGTGGTGTCTGATTGGTGGTCATCATTTGGTGTGTCATCATAGTGGTGATGTGGTCAGACTTGCTCAGTTGGAACAAACTTAAACTTGGGCCTTTTTTAAATGCTGAATTGAATGTCATTAAGAAAACTTAAAGGTGTGATAATGTATTTTTCCCGTAAACATATTTTCTGAATTTAAAAGTAAAGTAGTTTTTGAAAAGTATCTGTAACCTGATTACAATAGTTTTGCTGGTATAAGAACTGATTAATGACATTTTTTTTTGTAATCGGATTACATGTGTTACTCCCCTACCCTGCCCACACATAATTTGTACTGTAGCCTTGCTTGCTACGCCCTGCTCCAGCCAGGTCTCTGTGGTGAAGTGCTGAACTCAGTGGCGCACTCATGTGTTGGAGAAGCAGAGGGACATCTGCTGCACAGTGTCCAGGTCTGTGACCATCTGTCTGATGCAGTGTTTGAGCTGAGGCAACCGGGTCAACGGGTCAGGAGGTTCCAGTTCCCCTGTGTAGTCCAGCCTACTCTCCAACACTGCAGAGGGATAGGAGGAGGTAGAGCAGGAGAAGGAGAAGGAGGAGTAGCAGGAGAAGGAGGCGCAGGGGAAGCAGGAGCAGGAGGAGGAGCAGCAGGAGGAGGAGAAGGAGGAGGAGGAGGAGGCGCAGGGGAAGCTGGAGCAGGAGGAGCAGGAGGAGGGGCAGGAGGAGGAAAAGGGGGAGCAGGAGGAGGAGGAGCGCGAGGGAAAGGAGAAGGAGGAGCAGGAGAAGGAGCAGGAGGGGCAGGAGAAGGAGCAGGAGGGGCAGGAGAAGAAGGAGGGACAGGAGGATCAGGAGCAGGAGGAGAGACAGAAAGAGCAAGGAAGACATGGCAAGAATAAATAAGATTTCCATAAAACTTACATCCATGTAAAAATCCTTCGACTGGATCATTTAAATGTATCTCTATAATGAATCATCTCTGTGCCACATAGGGTCTGATGACAGTGGTATGGAACAGACAGTGGTATGGGAGGCAGGTAGCCTAGCTGTTAAGAGTGTTGGGTCTGATGACAGTGGTATGGGAGGCAGGTAGCCTAGCTGTTAAGAGTGTTGGGTCTGATGACAGTGGTATGGGAGGCAGGTAGCCTAGCTGTTAAGAGTGTTGGGTCTGATGACAGTGGTATGGAAAGACAGGGTATGGGCGGCAGGTAGCTAGTGTTAAGAGTGTTGGGTCTATGACAGTGTATGGGAGGCAGGTAGCCTAGCTGTTAAGAGTGTTGGGTCTGATGACAGTGGTATGGGAGGCAGGTAGCCTAGCTGTTAAGAGTGTTGGGTCTGATGACAGTGGTATGGGAGGCAGGTAGCCTAGCGTTTCAGAGCGTTGGGCCAGTAACCGAAAGGTTGCTGGTTCGAATCCAAGAGCTAACTAAGTGAAAAATCTGTTGATGTGCCTTTGAGCAAGGAACTTAACCCTAATTAATCCTGTAAGTCGCTCTGGATAAGAGCATCTGCTAAATTATTACCATTTATGGAATAGTGTGTGTGGTATAGGTCTCACCATCCAGCTCCTTCTCGATGAGGTCCATCCTGTGCGTGACTTGGTTCTGCATGGCCTCAATGTGATCCAACAGGTTGATCTGCCACTGCTGATGTAGCACACTGTCTTTGTCTGGGTCTGGCTTTATGTCTGTGGTGGGCTCCGCCTCTTCAGTCTCTACCTCCCTCCCCACATACTGCATCTTATACAGGTCCACACCCTGGAAACAGAACAACATGGCTTCTTATACAGGTCCACACCCTGGAAACAGAACACAACATGGCTTCTTATACAGGTCCACACCCTGGAAACAGAACAACATGGCTTCTTATACAGGTCCACACCCTGGAAACAGAACACAACATGGCTTCTTATACAGGTCCACACCCTGGAAACAGAACACAACATGGCTTCTTATACAGGTCCACACCCTGGAAACAGAACACAACATGGCATCTAAGTCACATCGAAAATGATTTGTCATAAATCCAGCTATTTCAGTTTTCAGCTAGCGTCTATTCACCACAATTTACACCAATTCTAATGCATATAGTGGATATGATGAATGGTATATCACTACTGACACACAATCATCTTCCAGAAGGAGTACGGACCTTGTCTGGTTGTAAGGCAGTGGGGTGAATCTTGGCCCGGTCCTGCAGCAGGGAGCTGGGGTAGAGCTTGGCTCTGTCTGGGTGCAATTGGCCACCGTAGCGCTGCTCGAGCTCCAGCAGGTCCTCTGTGCTCCTCAGGCTGTCCTCCAGCTCAGAGCCTCCCCGTGTCTCCACCACCAGCCTCTGCTCCAGCTCCAGCAGGTCCTCTGTGCTCCTCAGGCTGTCCTCCAGCTCAGAGCCTCCCCGTGTCTCCACCACCAGCCTCTGCTCCGCCGCTGGGTAGTACGCCCACGGCTTCTGGTAGCAGTGCTCACTGCTGATGTAGGAAGCTTTCGAGTCCTGGAAGGTCTTCTGAACCCTGTTGGGCTGCTCAGAGGGGGTGGAGACTGACGTCGCACTCAGCGCATCACCCACCTCCTACATACTACAGCTCCTACCCAGCTCCTCCTCCTCCTCCTGCTTCCAGGGCTGGCGCCACAGCTCCTACCCAGCTCCTCCTCCTGCTTCCAGGGCTGGCGCCACAGCTCCTACCCAGCTCCTCCTCCTGCTTCCAGGGCTGGCGCCACAGCTCCTACCCAGCTCCTCCTCCTGCTTCCAGGGCTGGCGCCACAGCTCCTACCCAGCTCCTCCTCCTGCTTCCAGGGCTGGCGCCACAGCTCCTACCCAGCTCCTCCTCCTGCTTCCAGGGCTGGCGCCACAGCTCCTACCCAGCTCCTCCTCCTGCTTCCAGGGCTGGCGCCACAGCTCCTACCCAGCTCCTCCTCCTGCTTCCAGGGCTGGCGCCACAGCTTCAGATCAGAGTGTGTCTGCTTCCTGTAGAGAATGACAGAGAGAGGGGTGAGGGCGAATTCACATTCACTGAAGATAGACCATCCAAGAACCAGTCACACCCCAAATTGTGGAACACTACGTTTTTAGGAAGTATTTGCAGTAACTTTGGTAGTACTCACCGGAGGATGCTCATCTTAAGCTGCAGGCCGTTGAGCACATCAAAGACGTGATGCACGTCGCCCAGGAGCTGGTGAGTGGCTGTTATCTTCTTCCTGTTCTGGTGGGAGTAGTTCTCATCCAGGCAAGACAGGCCATACATGTTGTGACGGCCCTGAATATTTCTGAACCGTCTCAAGGCTTCTCCTTCTAATAGGGCGCTTCCCCTTTAATTCTCCATTAAATAGCCAGCATCAGCTGCGCAAAAGGGGAGTGGTGATTGAGACCTGAATGAGGATGTGTACTACCTTCAGTTCATGAAGCTTCGCGATTACGTTTGTTGTGTTGCCTTACAGTGTGTTTTCGTGGCCTTTCCTCCGCTGGAGGGCTGTTGGCGGATTGTCTGACTGACCGACTGACTACAACTTTTTGTATACGGTATTTCATTTGTTTGGGGTGATGTATACTGTGATTTATGTAGTTGTGAGGACGTATTATTCTTTGGGTAGTCTTTGATACGCTTTATAGTTGTGTTACAAAATAAGTGTTATTTTGAGTGTATGAATATACTGGGTTTATGCTACGGACAAGCGTTGCGGGACTAAGGGCACTTGAGCCACGGAACTTATTTACCGGGCTGGACTCTTTTTATGCCCGAGGTACAGGACATTTCTAAATGAACATAAGTGCATTGATTTGTTATATTGTTGTGTGTGGGTGGGTGTGATCATTTATGTGGTGAATACAACCAAGCAAAAGAATACACTTGTTTGAAGTTCTTTCCAAGGTTTTAAGGGGTTTATGAAAAGTATATTTCCATCTTGACTTTTACATAAGTCCTTTGTATTGGTGTGACTTGACGGACCAGATGGGACTCATTCCCTCCCGAACTAAAAGGAGAAACCCATGCTTTCTCTGGTAGGCCAACCTACCTGGCACCCCTATAAATACCTCAAGTCAAAACCGTTACAATGTGACCACTGCTCAGCCAATCCCTGTCGTACCAGTAGCGCTGGCTCGGTCTCTGGGCTGAGAGAACAGATAGTATACAGGTTTATACCCTGGTAAAGAACAGAAACCCATGGGAGATCTCATATATATGTTAGTGTTCACACTATCCTCACCTGGTGGATTTCTGCAGATGTAGCAGCTATAGATGGCAGGCACATTGTGCTCAAAGAGGCCCATGCAGGTGCTATGCTGCCGTATTCAGACACTCATCGCACTAGGAGAGAGCACAGGACATGGTCACGTCACATATCATTGTAAAAAATTAAGTCATTCTGTATTCAATGGCTTACAAACTTGAAAAATGAAAAAGCAACAGAACAGTGTGTTAAAAGGTTCTACAGTGCCTAACATCATTCTTGGTGAGCCTCACCTGAATCATATGAATTCATTCTGCTCTTCCACCTCACAGATGCACCGCACTACGTCAGAGCCCTCGGTCACCATGGATACATTCTGTTCCGACACGGGAGTGGTAACATGCAGCTCCGCCTCCATGTCCTCATCACTCCACTCAGTGCTGACTGTGGACCAATCACTCTCATCTATTCAGAGAGGCGAGGGGAACACAATGTTTAGTTGAAATCGACACAATTCTGTTTTTGAGCAGGCAAAAACTCGACCAAAAACACATGCCAAGTATTTGCAGATTGACATATTACAAGATGTTTACATTTGCTGATTATTACAGACCACACCAATGCCCTAAAACATGGAAGATACCATTACAAGCCTGACTGGAGAGGAAGGAGAATGACTGACAGCTAACCTGAATTAAGCAAAAGCCAAAAAAGGAGGAGCATTGAGAAGAGGAAGACGATGTAAGGTCTTGGTACCCACCATCCTCTTGCACCTGGTCTGTGATGTGTTCTGGGCTTGAGTCGTAAGATAACTTGTGTTTGTGCGAGATGGGGAATTTGGATGCCAAATTAGGATTGGACTGAGGAGTGTTGAATAAGGAGATGCCCATGTTCTCCTCAGTATTTGTATTCTCTGGGGGGGGGGGGGGGGGGGAGCACATGCAGGTTTGAGAATGGTATCAGAACATTCAAAGCTATGAAAATGTATGCACTCACTACTGTAAGTCACTCTGGATAAGAGCATCTGCTAAATGACAAAAAAAAGCAAATGTGGAATAACGAAGAATCTGGAACATTAACTGAGCATTACATTCAAAATAGTTTTTCCTTGTTCGAATTTGGGCTGCCTTCTAAATGCATACGAATAGACTTTGGCAAATAAACTGTCAGGTTCCATTGAAGATGTGTTGTCAACTGATAAAGGCAGACAGAGATGCAGAGCTACAGACACTCATTCTGTCAATAAACAACATCTTACCTGACTTGGACCTCTTCTTCTGTTTATCGAGGAGGTAGTTTCTTTCTGTCTTCTCTTTCTGTCTTCTCTTTCTGTCTTCTCTTTCTGTCTTCTCGTTCATCTTTTCCCCTGGATTAAGTAAAGCAAAGCAGCAACATACACTGAGTGTACAAAACATTAGGAACACCTTCATATTGGGTTGCACCCCCCTCCTTTTGCCTTCAGAACAGCCTCAATTCGTCGGCGCATGGGCTGTACAAGATGTCAAAAGCGTTCCACAGGGATGCTGGCCCATGTTGACCCCAATGCTTCCCACAGTTGTGTTAAGTCGACTGGATGTCCTTTGGGTGGTGGACTATTCTTGATACAGACTTTTTCAGCCCTACCAATCTAAAGAACCTGCTGTCGCCTGTTATAAAATGTTTATAAAGTCAGTTTTGTTTTTAAATGAAGTTGAATTTAAGCAACAGCCACTAGTCTCTTGTATGCACAGGTCCAATAATATCCACTTCACTTTCACGTGCATATCACGTGTGGCAGCTGTAATCAGCCCTCACTCACCTGCTTCTCTCTGTCCGCTCTTCGTGCGTCTATTCCTCCGTCAGTTAGTTTTATATAGAATTTAGCCAAGATGGAGAGCGGGGATGCAGACCCAGACCCTGATGAGTCTTCTGTTGTTAGATTTGTACATTTGTTACATTGGAGCAGCGCGTAAAGCCAGCAATGTTGATAGACTGTATCATTTCATCGCCTGTTATAACCAAGAGCACGGACCAGTCTGAGTAGACATTGCAGGTTCACGGTCATGCAGCCTCAGTGTCAGAGAGGGAACATTGAGCACCGCTTCGCGACAGGCATGGTTTGCTTTACAGCAAAGAAAACGGCTCGTCTCTATGAGCCATATTACCAGAGATTACTTTTCTTCTTTCTATTGGGATACACATTTTATATAATTTCACAAACCATGTCACGGGCCATTTTAAACTAATCCCGGGTCGCTAATTATTGGTTTGATAACAAACAACATAGTTCAGTCATGTTACCTAGCTAGCTAACCACCTGGTAACTGGACAGTAGGTTTAGGCACATCTGATTGGCCCAGGAAGAAAGGAAAAGGGTCTGCTACTCTTGAGATGTGCTTCAAAAGTAGGATTCATGTAGGCCTAATGGAAGACTAAACTAGATCAAACATCTCTCTCTTTCTGCTGCTCCTTACATTCTGTTTGGTGCCTAACGTTTTCAAAGTTGGGAGCAGTGTGTGTGTGTGTGTGTGTGTGTGTGTGTGTGTGTGTGTGTGTGTGTGTGTGTGTTTGTGGGAGAGAGAGAGTGGTGTGTGTGTTTATGAGAGTGAGGGAGAGAGAGAGAGAGAGTGTGTGAGGAAGCGGGGAGTGTGTCTGTGTTAACTGAAGAGTAAAGATGGTTTCATGCAGTGTTTTCCCCTTACTGACACAAGGACATGCAGGTCATTATGCATTTATATTCCTTACTCCCATTCCTCCTGTCAAAGCACAGGTAGGCCTTTGCAAATATGAGCAAAACAGCCATTCTATACAGTATTATATTATACACTGAACAGTGTGAAGTTAAATTCAATGTGTTGTTTTGAGTAGAAGTGTGAATTTCAGTGACAGGTTTCTGGAGAACGTTTAGAAAACTTGTACAAGCGTCTGGGGGACGGGGCGAACAGGATGCTATGCCACTGATTTTTTCACACTGTGGTATCGCGATACTACTCAGTATCGTGATACTTGGCCTGGTTTCGTATCGTTTCTAAAAAGTTAGTTCTTGACATAAACCGGTACGCCTTGCACCTAGTACCATACCCCGTTCAAAGGCACTTCAATCTTTTGTCTTGTCCATTCACCCTCAATGCCACACATACACAATCCATGTCTCAATTGTTTCAAGGCTTAAAAATACTTATTTAACCTGTCTCTTCCCCTTCATCTACACTGATTGAAGTGTATTTATCAAGTGACATCAATAAGGGATCATAGCTTCACCTGGTCAGTCTATGTCATGGAAAGAGCAGGTGTTCTTAATGTTTTGTATACTCAGTGTAAAAAGGACTTCAAGACCCAAGTTGATATTCTCAGTCAAGAACGATGGTGAAATGTGTGTAAAATGTCCCTCACCTGTTTCACTGGCGCCCCATTCTCTTTCATCATGGGATCCGCTGTTGGTATGCTGGTTCTCCTTCCTTCTCTCACTCAGTGATCTCCGACGATGACGGTTAACTCCTTTGGCAGCCTGTCTGTCATCCAGGGGTGAGTCTATAGTACAGTGGAGCAGTGCACAGAAGAGGAGATTTAGTTCAAATTTGATTGATTTATTGTCCATGCATGGATATTCAGCACAGGCTGTCCAGTTAATAATGTAACAGTGAGGTTTGGTGTAGCTCAGGTTTGTTGATCCATGGGGCAGAGTGCTACTACTCACGTATAGAGCCTGACATGGTGCGTCTCCTCCTGGGCGTCTCCTGGGAGCCAGCCTGCTTCTCTGATGCCCGGGTCTGCATGCTGCGGACAGAGGCGTGCTCGCTGTCTGCATGGTAGTACTTGACATGGTAGTGCAGGAGAGAGGCCTTCCGGAAGGACTTCAGACAGCCAGGAGCCTTGCACTTGAAGGGGTTGTGGTCCAGTTCAATGGAGAGGATTTGGGGCGGCTGGTTTTTGATGACTCGATACACTAAGATAGAGATACAAGGAACAACATGTCATTAAATTGAACTGTGTGTGTGTGTGTGTGTGTGTGTGCGCGCGCGCTCACATGGCTCTCTGCTGTACTTGTGGGTGGTAGGCAGGTGGACTTGGCGTTTCAGTATTGCTTCTGTATAGAGATATACAAAAGATCAACTGTAGCTTTTTTGGCACAGAGGTGACAGATTCCAGAAGAAGTGTTATCTCACATCTCAATGTAACATCAGGACTCAGTATTCAAATAGATCCAGATGATAGGACAGCTCATGAAGTCTCCTGAAAACCTGGAGATTTAAGAAAACTCTTATTGTCTTTGATTTATGAGCATCTCCATCTCATTTACCCATCTCTGATTGGGCTTCGATGCTGGCCTCTGTGCTTGTCTGGTCTGGGGTTAATGCTTGGGACGCTGTGACGGAATCTGAATCAACCTGCTTCTGAGACTGGGATCGGTTGCTTCTGTCTGGAGAAGGAAAGGCAGAGAGGAGGGGGAGAAGGGAAGGCAGAGGAGGAGGAGGAGGAGAAGGGAAGGCAGAGGAGGAGGAGGAGGAGAAGGGAAGGAAGAGGAGGAGGAGGAGGAGAGGGAAGGCAGAGGAGGAGGAGGAGGGAAGGCAGAGGAGAGGGGAGAGGAGGAGGAGAAGGGAAGGCAGGGAGAGGAGGAGGGAAGGCAGAGGAGGAGGAGGAGGAGGAGGAGCGAAGGAGGAGGAGGGGGAGAGGAAGGGGAGAGGGAGGAGGAGGAGGGAAGCAGAGGAGGAGAAGGGGAGGCCGAGGAGGAGGAGGAGGAGAGGGAGGAGAGGAGGAGGAAGAAGACGAAGGAGAGGAGAACGGAGAAGGGAAGGAGAGGAGGAGGAGGAGGAGAGGAGGAGGCGAAGGACCGAGGAGGAGAGAAGGAGAAGGGAGGCAGAGAGGAGAGGAGGGGGGAAGGCATAGAGGAGGAGGAGGAGGGAAGGCAGAGGAGGAGAAGGAGAAAGGGAAGGCAGAGGAGGAGGAGAAGGGAAGGCAGAGAGGAGGAGGAGGAGGAGGAGAAGGGAAGGCAGAGAAGGAGAAGGGAAAGCAGAGGAGGAGGAGAAGAAGGGAAGGCAGAGAGGAGGAGGAGAATGGAAGGCAGAGAGGAGGAGGAGGAGGAGGGAAGGCAGAGAGGAGGAGGAGGAGGGAAGGCATAGAGGAGGAGGAGGAGGGAAGGCAGAGGAGGAGGGAAGGCAGCAGAGGAGGGAAAGCAGAGAGGAGTAGGAGGAGGAGGGGAAGGCAGAGGAGGAGGAGGAGGGAAGGCAGAGGAGGAGGAGTTATAAACAAAGAAAAAACAGAGCTTTCAATGTCATTAACAGTCAGCAAGCCCCCCCACCCCAGACATTATACCCCCCCATTGGACATGTATCATTGTTACAGTTGAAAATATGTATATACACTGCTCAAAAAAATAAAGGGAACACTTAAACAGCACAATGTAACTCCAAGTCAATCACACTTCTGTGAAATCAAACTGTCCACTTAGGAAGCAACACTGATTGACAATAAATTTCACATGCTGTTGTGCAAATGGAATAGACAACAGGTGGAAATTATAGGCAATTAGCAAGACACCCCCAATAAAGGAGTGGTTCTGCAGGTGGTGACCACAGACCACTTCTCAGTGTTTTGGTCACTTTTGAATGCTGGCGGTGCTTTCACTCTAGTGGTAGGTCTACAACCCACACAAGTGGCTCAGGTAGTGCAGCTCATCCAGGATGGCACATCAATGCGAGCTGTGGCAAGAAGGTTTGCTGTGTCTGTCAGCGTAGTGTCCAGAGCATGGAGGCGCTACCAGGAGACAGGCCAGTACATCAGGAGACGTGGAGGAGGCCGTAGGAGGGCAACAACCCAGCAGCAGGACTGCTACCTCCGCCTTTGTGCAAGGAGGAGCAGGAGGAGCACTGCCAGAGCCCTGCAAAATGACCTCCAGCAGGCCACAAATGTGCATGTGTCTGCTCAAACGGTCAGAAACAGACTCCATGAGGGTGGTATGAGGGCCCGACGTCCACAGGTGGGGGTTGTGCTTACAGCCCAACACCGTGCAGGACGTTTGGCATTTGCCAGAGAACACCAAGATTGGCAAATTCACCACTCGCGCTCTGTGCTCTTCACAGATGAAAGCAGGTTCACACTGAGCACATGTGACATGTGAGTCTGGAGACGCCGTGGAGAACGTTCTGCTGCCTGCAACATCCTCCAGCATGACCGGTTTGGCTGGTGGGTCAGTCATGGTGTGGGGTGGCATTTCTTTGGGGGGCCGCACAGCCTCCATGTGCTTGCCAGAGGTTGCCTGACTGTCATTAGGTACCGAGATGAGATCCTCAGATCCCTTGTGAGACCATATGCTGGTGCGGTTGGCCCTGGGTTCCTCCTAATGCAAGACAATGCTAGACCTCATGTGGCTGGAGTGTGTCAGCAGTTCCTGCAAGAGGAAGGCATTGATGCTATGGACTGGCCTGCCCGTTCCCCAGACCTGAATTCTATTGAGCACATCTGGGACATCGCTCCATCCACCAACGCCACGTTGCACCACAGACTGTCCAGGAGTTGGCGGATGCTTTAGTCCAGCTCTGGGAGGAGATCCCTCAAGAGACCATCCGCCACCTCATCAGGAGCATGCCCAGGCGTTGTAGGGAGGTCATACAGGCACGTGGAGGCCACACACACTACTGAGCCTCATTTTGACTTGTTTTAAGGACATTACATCAAAGTTGGATCAGCCTGTAGTGTGGTTTTCCACTTTAATTTTGAAGGTGACTCCAAATCCAGACCTCCATGGCTTGATAAATTTGATTACCATTGATCATTTTTGTGTAATTTTGTTGTCAGCACATTCAACTATGTAAAGAAAAAAGTATTTCATAAGATTATTTCATTCATTCAGATCTATGATGTGTTGTTTAAGTGTTCCCTTTATTTTTTTGAGCAGTGTATATATATTGTTCCATTCACTTCTCTTTGACCTGCACTGTCGGAGCTCGGAGCGTAAGAATTTCACTGTATCCTGCAAATACATCTGCGACCCTGTGCATGTGACTAATCAAACAAATATATCTACAGACCTTTCGTGTGTCTGGCCTTTTCCTCTTTGGCGGTGGCATCTGTCCAAGAGACGCCCTCCTTTTTCTCAGTTCACGTTGACTTTCTGTAAACAAAAAGAAGCGAAGGTTCAGTGTGACTGAGACATATTTTCCCTTCGACTTCTTCCACTTAACTATCAAGCTACAGAACCTGTCCTAACATGCTCTAAGCCACGATTCAATTCACCAAGCCAAGCCAGAAGCCAAGCTTCCATCTTTTTCCCCCCCTGTTAGAACATGAGCACTGCCATGGGACACGTTCCATTTCAATCTGATGATTCTGCAGTTGCAGCTGTTTTCTATTGTTCCATTGTCAAAGCCTTACGCCTCGATCACATTGACAGCGTCATTGCGCAAAATGGTACGCAGCATCAAAAGTTCAACATTTACCTTCTGCTACCATTTCTGACAAGCAGTCTAGGCATACAGTTTGACACATACGTTCGATAAATCCAACGTATGCGCCACACAGAACGCACTGCAACTGCCTCTGCAACGCAATGCTGCAAGGCAAACGCAGTGTTCCATTGGAAATAAATGTACTTCAGGTGTACCAAAATGCAATGACGCTATCGGTGTGATCGAGGCGTTACACTAACCTACATACCTTCAGAAGGTCGGTAGCGGTTCCTCCTGGGCACCTGGGAACTCTGTCCAGATACATCCTCTTTTTTCTCCTCCTGCTTTTGGTTCCTGCTCATCACACGCTCCCCACCTACATTCACATCATCCCTTTTAGTTTGGACAACCTGCCCATCTTCCCTTTTAGTTTGGACAACCTGCCCATCTTCCCTTTCAGTTTGGACAACCTGCCCATCTTCCCTTTTAGTTTGGACAACCTGCCCATCTTCCCTTTTAGTTTGGACAACCTGCCCATCTTCCCTTTTAGTTTGGACAACCTGCCCATCTTCCCTTTTAGTTTGGACAACCTGCCCATCTTCCCTTTTAGTTTGGACAACCTGCCCATCTTCCCTTTCAGTTTGGACAACCTGCCCATCTTCCCTTTTAGTTTGGACAACCTGCCCATCTTCCCTTTTAGTTTGGACAACCTGCCCATCTTCCCTTTTAGTTTGGACAACCTGCCCATCTTCCCTTTTAGTTTGGACAACCTAACCATCTTCCCTTTTAGTTTGGACAACCTGCCCATCTTCCCTTTCAGTTTGGACAACCTGCCCATCTTCCTTGGCTTGTGGCTCTTCAGTCTGTTCCCCAACACCTTCCTGGCCTCGTTCTCCTGCCCCCGTCTCCCCCTCCTCGCCGTTCAGGTTCCCATTCTGTCCACTGGTCTCAACGTTGCCATTCAGCGTTTTCTCCTCTTCATCTTTCCTACTCTCTTCTTCCTCTCCTTCCCTCTCTATCCGGCCAGGTCTGAAGAGCCTTTTTTGGATTTGTCACTCTCGGCTTTCCCGTTCACCTTGGCTTCATCTTTCCCATTGCTCTGCTCAGTTTGAGTTATGTCTCTCTCCCTGGCCTTCACATTCTAAATCACACAAGACACACATAAAACATTAAGGTAACCCGATCAACCATCTTCTCACACTACTGTGAACCAACAGACATATGGAGCTCTCACCTCTAGCTTATATGGCTTTACTTTGGTTGGCTTAACGGTCTTGACTACTCCATCGAAAAACTTCACAGTATAGGAAGCTAAAGAGAGAAAAAAAACAGACAAGGTCAGAATATTTATCCAATGTACAGGGATTTTTCTGCCATAGAAACCCTTGGGTGGGCCGAACAGTCCAAACTGTAAAGAAAATATATTTTTATTAAATTAAATTTGTTTTTAATTTTCAGGATGGAAAAACGCTTTCAGTGTGAACTTAAATGACTAAACCCAAATATAAAGTATGTAGAAAAGATAATGGTGCTATATATTTTTTAATAATATAATCATTGAGAATTTACAATCACCAAAAGAAAAGCTAAACAGTGAGAGGAATTGAAAAACAATTAATTGAACAGTATTGATTTTGTTATTAAGTTTGAGCAAAATAACACAGGATTAGCTATGGCAAAATGCATAGAATTGCAGGAAATTATCTTTAAAACTGCAACATGTTCTCTCAGCTACATGGCAGAATATGTAGAATCCCTGGAAATTAACTTTACAACTGCAAAATGTTCTCTCAGCTCAATGGCAAAATGTGTGGAATTGCAGGAAATTAACTTTAAACCTACAAAAATGTATCTCAGCTCCATGGAGAAATTCTGAGAATTGCAGGAAATTGACTTAAAAATGCTATTAAAAAACCCACCAAGATGGGGGCCACACCCCTGCCACGCCCCTAGCCACGCCCACCACCTAAGCCTCTTTTTGATCCAGAAAAACCCCTGATGTAACTAGAATGGCATGCACTTATGATTGAACACAATTCATTCTGTCCAGTGTAAGTGTAGTACCCACCATCTCTTCCAGGACCTTAGCAGGATAGTAGCGACAGTCTACCCAACAGGCTAAGACTTTCTCATTCACCCGAAACACCTGCAAGGTAGAGGAAAGTTAATCACTGATAAACACCAATCTGAGATTCACTGTCATTGAGTTCAACAGGACTTTGAGGAGGTGTAATGATACGTTCTGTACGTGGTTGTTGTCGTCTAATCAGTTTAATCATAGGCCTTCTGCGTTTATGGCTGGATCTCGTCTAGGGTAACATTATGGTTGAGTTCCTGCCCGATTAGATGCACAGGCGTTGCACTGCATCAACCAATGGTTGCGTCATCGACTGTTCAGTCGGTCATCAGATATGCTATAACATATGATGTGGTTAGCTGAAGGTTAAACACTTATTCATGCGTTTTGAGATCTAGCAGGTGTCTGCAAAGTAGTCGGGCAGAAAGTCGACTGAGTGTGAGTTCTAGTCTCCGTCCCTCACCGGTGTAGGCCTGGGCCGGTTGTCGGGCCCGGGCCGGTTGTCCTGCAGACCCTCTCTCCTCAGCTGGATCCGCTCCAGGGGTCTCAGGTAGGGGCTGGTCCAGCCAAACCACTCGTCATAGCGGTGGCTCCACTGACAGTAGTGGATCAGAACCTTCTGGTCCTCATATTCAATCTTCTCTATGTTGGCCTGGCACCTGAGCAGTGGAGAGAGAGCGATCACATGACAAGATATTCTAGTGGTAGATATGGGCAGGAACTGAACATTAGAAACCTAGGCCTGGTTTCCCGAAAGCATCTCAAGGCTAATAAGTTAATCGTTATAACCACATGATACTATGGTTCTAAGACGATCTTAACCTTAAGATGCTTTTGGGAAAGCGGGACCAGGTCTGTTAGACAGTTATCAGATTAAAAGAGTTGACACTGACCAGTTCTTCAGGCTGTCGCGAGCCTCCAGCTGTGCTCCCACCTTAAAATAGATCCCTCTTCTGTTGGGAGGAGTCTTGGTCATCATGGACACATTCAAGACCTACCTGTAGAACATCAAAAACAAGATCAGCTTTAAGTCAAATCTCCACATGAACAGGCCACTAAAACAGACCTGCGAGTCACTACAGGGGAGCTTGTTGTCTCACCAGCACACATCACATTGTATCATTTCAAGGAGAAATGAAAGCAGGGTGTAGCGTTAACATGGCTAATTGAGACTACATAACTTGAACTGTGCGCTTTCTCCCTTTCCGAGTCCTACAGCAAACAACAACTCCATACAGAATATTCAATAGCAGCCTACCTGTTGGCTCTTGGTGTTGTAACCTGTCCTTCTCATTTAACTTTTACATCTGTCATTTTAATTCCATCTTCCATTGATTAGCCTAGATATCGCCTAATATCTTGCCACACGGATGCTCTAGCTGTATGAGTGGGCGGATTCGATTATGCTGAGTCGCAGGGCACCGGTCTATGGTGCATGATGTAAATGGGCAAAAGCGGTGAGGGAGGAGGGCCCTTCTCAAATCGAACAGTGATCTGCGCAGGTCATGTTGTCAACAAGGCAGCATGGTGCATCGTCACAGAAGATACAACATTTACTCCACACACAGAAACTCCTACTAGGATTCTCCCTCGCCCTCCCTATGGCAAATCCGACCATAACTCTTTCCTCCTGGTCCCTGCTTACAAGCAAAAACTCAAAACAGGAAGTACCAGTGACGCGCTCAATACAGAAGTGGTCCGATGAAGCGGATGCTAAGCTACAGGACTGTTTCGCAAGCACAGACTGGAATATGTTCCGGGATTCATCCAATAACATTGAGGAGTTTACCACATCAGTCACCGGCTTCATTAATAAGTGCATCGACAACGTCGTCCCCACAATGACCGTACGTACATTTCCCAAGAAGTTTTGGATTACAGGCAACATCCGCACTGAGCTAAAGGCCAGAGCTGGCGCTTTCAAGGAGCGGGACACTAATCCGGACACTTATAAGAATCCCGCCACGACCTCTGACGAGCCATCAACAGGCAAAGCATCAATACAGCACTAAGAGCTAAACCGGCTCTGACGCTTGATGGATGTAGCAGGGCTTGCAAACTATCACGGTTTACAAAGGGAAACCCAGCCGCGAGCTGCCCAGTGACACAAGCCTACCAGACGAGCTAAGTGCCTTCTGTGCTCGCTTCGAGGCAAGCAACACTGAACAATGCATGAGAGCACCAGCTCTTCCGGACGACTGTGTGATCTCGTGCTCCTTAACAATGTCAATAAGAGCTTTAAACAGGTTAACATTCACAAGGCCGCGGGGCCAGATGGATTACCAGAACGCATACTTCGAGCATGTGCTGATCAGCTGCAAAGTGTCTTCAATTACATTTTCAATCTCTCCCTGACCCTGTCTGTAATACCTACATGTTTCAAGGAGAACACCATAATCCCTGTGCCCAAGAACGCCAAGGTAATCTGTCTACCTGACTATCGCCCCGTAGCACTCACATCTGTAGCCATGAAATGCTTTGAAAGGCTGGTCAAGGCTCACATCAACACCATGATCCCAGGCACCCAGGACCCACTCCGAATTCGCATAACGCCCCAACTGATGACGCACCAACTGATGACGCAATCTCTATTGCACTCCACACTGCCCTCTCCCACCTGGACTTTCTGAGACTGTTATTCTGGATCCTGGACTTCCTGACGGCCCGCCCCCAGGTGGTGAGGGCAGGCAACAACACATCCGCCATGCTGGCCTTCAACACAGGGGCCCCTCAGGGGTGCATCCTTAGTCCCCTCCTGTACTCCCTGTTCACCCACGACTGCGTGGCTGTGCACGACTCCAACACCATCTTTGTCAAATCAGATCATGACTGAAATCAGATCACAACAAATCAGATCATTCTGCTCCTATAGGCAGAAACTCAAGCAGGAAGTACCCGTGCTAAGGTCTATTCAACACTGGTCTGACCAATCGGAATCCACGCTTCAAGATTGTTTTGATCATGCGGACTGGGATATGTTCCGGGTTGCCTCTGAGTATATAATTGACGTATACACAGACACGGTGACTGAGTTCATCAGGAAGTGTATAGGAGTTGTTTCCACTGTGACTGAGTCTCCCGAGTGGCGCAGTGGTCTAAGGCACTGCATCGCAGTGCTAGCTGTGCCACTAGAGATCCTGGTTCGAATCCAGGCTCTGTCGTAGCCGGCCGCGACCGGGAGACCCATGGGGCGGCGCGCAATTGGCCCAGCGTCGTCCAGGGTAGGGGAGGGAATGGCCGGCAGGGATGTAGCTCAGTTGATAGGGTTGTGGGTTCGATTCCCACAGGGGGTATGAAAAAAATAATGTATGCACTAACTGTATGTCGCTCTGGATAAAAGCGTCTGCTAAATGACTTAAAACCTACCCAAACCAAAAGCCGTGGATAGACGGCAGCATTCGCACAAAACAGAAAGTGTGAATCACCGCATCTAACCACGGCAAGGTGACTGGGAATATGGCAGAATACAAACAGTGTAGTTATTCCCTCCGTAAAGCAATGAAACAGGCAAAACGTCAGTACAGAGACAGTGTAGTTGCAATTCAACGGCTCAGACACGAGACATATCTGGCAGGGTCTACAGACAATCACGCATTTCAAAGGGAAAACCAGCCACGTTGAGGACACTGACGTCTTGCTCCCGGACAAGCTAAACGCCTTCTTCGCCCGCTTTGAGGATAAAACAGTGTCACCAACGCGGCCCGCTCCCAAGGACTGTGGGCTCTCGTTTTCCGTGGCCGATGTAAGACACTTAAGCGTGTTGACCCTTGCGAGGCTGCCGGCCCAGACGGCATTCCTAGCCGCGTCCTCAGAGCATGCGCAGACCAGCTGGCTGCAGTGTTTACGAACATATTCAATCTCTCTCTATCCCAGTCTGCTGCCCCCACTTGCTTCAAGATGTCCACCATTGTTCCTGTACCCAAGAAAGCAAAGGTAACTGAACTAAGGTAAATGACTATCGCCCCGTAGCACTCACCTCTGTCATCATGAAGTGCTTTGAGAGGCTAGTTAAGGATCATATCACATCACCTGCACCTTACCTGACACCCTAGACCCACTACAATTTGCATACCGCCCCAAAAGATCCACAGACGATGCAATCGTCATCGCAATGCACATTGCCTTATCCCATCTGGACAAGAGGAATACCTATGTAAGAATGCGGTTCATTGACTATAGCTCAACCTTCAAAACCATAGTACCCTCCAAGCTCATCATTAAGCTCGGGGCCCTGGGTCTGAACCCCGCCCTGTGCAACTGGGTCCTGGACTTCCTGATGGGCCGCTCCCAGGTGATGAAGGTAGGAAACAACACCTCTACGCTGATCCTCAACACAGGGGCCCCACAAGGGTGCGTGCTCAGCCCCCTCCTGTACTCCCTGTTCACCCATGACTGCGTGGCCATGCACGCCTCCAATTCAATCATCAAGTTTGCAGGCAACACAACAGAGGGTAGTGCGTACGGCCCAGTACCTACATGTGCACATCTACCTCAATTGCCTCGTACCCCTGCACATCGACTCGGTACTAGTACTCAGTGTATATAGCCAACTTATCGTTACTCATTGTTTATTTATTCCTTCTGTTATTATCTTTCTATTATTTTTCTCTCTCCATTGTTGGGAAGGGAACGTCAGTAAGCATTTCACTCTTAGTCTACACCTGTTTATGAAGCAAGTGAACAAAATAAAATGTTTAAATTTCTAACTACTTCATTGGCAGATAAAGCATTTTTTATCAAAAGCTATCACTTTTGGGGGGGGCGCTGTTGGAAGCCAAGGATGTAGCACGCGTCTCCCTATCGCTCCTGAGTTAGTGACCAAATTTATATATTTAACTTTGCAAAATTGCATACATTTCTGTTTGCCCAGGCGTCTGAAGAGACCCATAAACAACTCAGTTCAAGTTTAATAAATTTAAATTCGTAATGACATCAACCCGGCCAAAAACAGAGTCTGCAAGAGCAGGCCGCAACAAGCCTGCAACTTCTCCCGACTCACCCCCGCCACCGAACGCTGCCAATGCCGGCCCCACGGAAACACTGACTGTGGAGATGCTGCAATCCGTGATAGGCACCCTCAAAACCGACATTTTCGGAAAAATTGACTGTCTCTCTACCAATCTCAGGTCAGAGATATCAACGATCAAAGACGAGCTTAAAAAATCTATCGAGAGTATACAGAATAAGCTCGACGCACATGGGGTGTCTTTATCGGATTTGGAGCGAGGTGCTACAGACCACAGCACTCGCATTAGCGAGCTAGAGGCTAACGTCGGCTCATTGACAACTAGGGTGGCATTCCTCGATAATAGATGCGAAGATATGGAAAGTAGAATGCGGAGGAACAACATTCGTCTACTGGGAATACCGGAGGGAGTGGAGGGCCCAAGGCCCACGGAGTACATGGCCCAGCTACTTCAGGAGCTGCTCGGGCTAGAGGAGAAGCCATTGCTAGACCGGGCTCACCGCACTCTGCGTAGCCGACCCAGGGATGGAGAACCCCCACGACCATTTGTCATCAGGGTGCATTTCTTTCACGTCCGCAACGACATACTGAGAAGATCGGGAGAAGCATCCCCTCTTCTACATAAGGGTAAAAGAGTCTCGATATTTGCGGACTACACAACAGCTGTGGCTAAGAGGCGGGCTAGCTTTGGAGCTGTGAAACGCCAACTACACGCCTGCCCGGGCGTGAAGTTCGGCCTCATCTACCCTGCGGTTTTGAGACTGACTTTACCGGACGGCTCCATGCACAGATTCGAGGACCCGGCTATAGCGGCAGATTTCATCAACAAGAACGTGAAAGCGGCTGTTGTACCGCATGGTGTGTAACAAATGGTTGGCTGGCTGGTCTTCCTAGCAGGCTAGTTAGCAGGCCGAATGGGTGACTAACGAAGCCATCTTTGCTGGGTTCATCGACATATGAATGTCATTCTCTTTTTTATCTCTTTATTTCCAGCCCAGGTTTGCCGCCTCTAATGCCAATATCTGGGGGTCTGCATGGCTGTTTCAGTTTGATCATTTACCATCTGCGTCGAGGTTAAACCTCTCTTAATCGAGGATAGTTTTCCTTAGACTCTGTTGGGGACCATTCTATCCATGTTTGGCTTACTCTAGTTAAATGGTCACTAATCTTAGGTAGCACAGAGTAAGAGTTATCATGCTTAGCTCTAAACTTTCTTTGTATTTAGGGTTTTGCTTGCATCTCATTTGGGGAGATGCTTCGGCAAGGGCGGGTGTGAGGGAAGGGTTTGTTCACTCTCTATTTGTATATAGTTTGTATATGTTTTTTGTGCCTCTTCGCTTGTTTTTGTTTTTTACATTTGCTCTTTTAGGTTCAACTAAGATCTTCAGTTTACATTGTACCTTGTCCTTTACACATCCTCTCTCTCTCTTAAGATATGACTCAGCCTAGTGTAGCCCATACTGCTGGAGGGAATGGCTTTAATTTTCTTACTTGGAACTGCAGGGGCATAAATAACCCAGTTAAACGTAGTAAGGTGCTACACCATCTTCATCATTTGAAAGCTCACATCATCTTTCTCCAAGAAACTCATCTGAAGGTATCACAACACTCAAGTCTTAGGTGCAGATGGGTGGGTCAGGTGTTCCATTCCTCATTTCAGAGTAAGGCGAGAGGGGTGGCTATTTTACTTCACAGATCGGTACCTTTTACATGTTCTAAGGTGATCGCAGATCCCCATGGTAGATATATAATTGTCAGTGGTAGGCTGCTCAATACAAAGGTTCTTCTTGTTAATATCTATGCTCCTAATTGGGACAATGGTGATTTTTTCAAATCGGTTTTCTCTACACTCCCAGATATGTCCACCCATATGTTGATTTTAGGAGGTGACTTTAACTGTTGGTTAGACCCACAATTGGATCGATCCTCCACTAAACCTACCACCTTATCAACCTCAGCTAGAGTTGTTCGAACCTTTATGTCTGAATTCGCAATCTCAGATCCTTGGAGAATGGTTAATCCAGCTGGGAAAGCATATTCTTTTTTCTCATCGGTTCACCACACTTTTACGCGCATAGACTACTTCCTTGTTGATGACCGGCTCCTCCACTCCATATCTTCATGTTCATATAACCCAATTGTTGTATCTGACCACGCCCCTGTTACTATGGAAGTAGCTTTTCAAAATGTTGACAATCAGCGACCGCCTTGGCGACTAAAAACTCAACTGCTCAGTAATGAACACTTTGTCAATTTTGTTTTGAGTCAAATCGACTTTTTCATGATTACAAATAGAACCCCAAACATCTCTGCGTCTACTCTCTGGGAAACTTTGAAAGCTTATATCAGAGGTGAAATTATCTCCTACACCGCACATGAGAACAAATTGAAAAGGAATAGGTTATCTATGTTAACACGCTGTATTGCCCAATTAGATGACATTTATGCCGTTTCACCATCCCCGGATATTTATAAGGAACGTTTAACTCTGCAAGCAGAATTTGACACACTATTAACAGACCAGGTTACTGAAATGCTTGTCAAGTCTAGGAGCACTTACTATGAACAAGGAGATAAAGCCAGTAAATTATTAGCTCACAAGTTACGTCAACTATCATCATCATCTCAGATTACAAAAATTCGTACATCATCTGGGATATCATTAGATCCTGGGGGGATCAATGAGGAGTTCAAGAGATTTTACCAGTCTCTATATACCTCTGAAAGTAAAGCGGATACACTGGAATTGGATGATTTCTTCCACTCACTTTCTGTGCCTTCGGTCGGCCGGGATTTGGTTAAAAAATTAGAGCAGCCGATCACTGTTGAAGAACTGTCTAACGCTGTCAAATCCCTTCAATCTGGGAGAAGCCCAGGGCCTGATGGCTACCCGACAGAGTTTTATAAAAAGTTTATCACCATAATAGCCCCTATTCTAATTGAAATGTACAATGATGCATTTGTAAATGGTGCTCTCCCACATACTCTCACTCAAGCAACCATTTGTGTTATTCTTAAAAAAAACAAAGACCCTCTTGACTGTGCATCATACCGTCCAATTAGCTTGCTAAATGTGGACTATAAAATTCTAGCCAAAATTCTGGCAACGCGGCTAGAAACAGTCCTCCCATCAATTATCTCTCCGGATCAAACAGGATTTATAAAAAATAGACACTCATTCTTCAATCTCCGAAGATTATTTAATATTATATACAATCCTTCTATCGACAATACCTCTGAAGCCATTATATCCCTGGACGCGGAGAAAGCGTTTGATCGGGTGGAATGGAAATACCTTTTTTACACTCTAAATAAATTTGGCTTTGGCTCCAAATTCATGACCTGGATAAAACTTCTGTACTCATCCCCCCAAGCCTCTGTCAGGACTAATAACACTCAATCAGATCGCTTCCCTTTGCAAAGATCGACACGTCAGGGTTGCCCTTTAAGTCCCTTACTGTTTGCCCTCGCCATAGAGCCACTTGCAATAGCACTTCGCTCCAACCCCCTCATCAAAGGCATAGTCAGATACGGGCACGAACACAAACTGTCTTTATATGCAGATGATTTATTAATATACACATCCAATCTTTCTGTCTCTGTCCCTGCTGCCCTTGCCACTTTCGCATCCTTCGGTCACTTATCAGGGTATAAACTAAATCTCAGTAAAAGTGAATTGATGCCACTTAACATGGCTGCAAAAAAATCCCCTTTACATAACTTGCCATTTAAAATAGCTCACAGTAGTTTTATTTATCTCGGGGTACATGTCACAATTAGGTTTGAAAACCTTTTTCAAGCCAACTTTGCTCCTCTCTTAACCCGTACTAAGGACGATTTGGAACGGTGGTCTTTGCTACACCTCTCCTTAGTTGCTAGAATTAACTCTATTAAAATGAATACTCTCCCCAAATTCTTATACCTCTATCAGTGCCTTCCAATATTTCTACCCAATACATTTTTCAAAAAGATCGACGGCCTAATTCTACCCTTTATATGGGACAAAAAGCCTACTAGGATGCGAAAACAGCTCTTGCAGAGGCCCAAACCAGACGGCGGTCTAGCTCTACCAGATTTCAGATTCTATTATTGGGCCGCTAACCTTAGGATCATTCAGTACTGGTTGCAGAGCAGAGTGATATTCCCACCCCCAACTTGGCTGGAGATGGAGGCTGCCTCGTCTACACCGGCATCATTGTCTTCCCTCGCTCACTCCTCTATTACAGGCCCTTACTCCTCCTTCACCAATAATATATGTGTCAAAACAACATTGAAGATCTGGAATCAATTTAGACGCCACTTTGGGTTTCAAACAACCTCTTCCTTGGCTCCGGTAGCCTCAAACCCAGCTTTTCCCCCATCTATGATTGATGGTGCTTTCTCAACATGGTCTAATCTCGGTATTAAAAGATTCAGAGATCTGTATACTAACAATACATTTAGTACGTTTCAACAATTATCAGCTAAATTTGGTCTCCCCAGACATCATTTTCTTAGGTTCTTACAAGTCCGGAGTTATGTCCGCAGCATAGATCCAGGATTCCCCAACCTTTCTGGTGGAACACAGTTCGACACATTTCTCACCCCACTTCCCAATCAGAAAGGCACATTGTCAATAATCTATAGTCAAATTTGCTCACTACAAGCCATCTCATTAAACAATATCAAATCCTCTTGGGAGGAGGAACTGGGTGAGGAAATATCTGATGAACTATGGGAAGGGGCACTCAAAAGGGTACATAGCTCTTCTATTTGCGCTCGACACGGCCTCATCCAATGCAAACTCATTCATAGGGCCCACTGGACCAAAGCAAGACTATCAAAAATTTACAAGGATGTGAACCCTAATTGTGTTCGATGTAACCAGTCCCCTGCTAATCATGTGCACATGTTTTGGTGCTGCCCATCTCTTGTTGGTTTCTGGAAAGACATCTTTAACACACTCTCAGAATTAAGCGGCACACAGATCGAGCCAGACCCTCTCATTGCATTATTTGGAGTTTCCTTACCCACAATACAATTGACCAAAATGAATAAGGATGTAATTGCCTTTGTCACGTTGTTAGCGAGACGATTAATTTTACTTAGATGGAAATCCTCTGCAGCCCCTTCTCATGCTCTTTG